TCCTTTTCACAGCGTATATACGTTTTTGCCGAGAGTGGCTTTTTCAAACATGGACGAATAAAAGTGTCACATGCTGGGATCGGCTCCTCTAGACCGATAACATCAATAAGTCACCTTCCTGATAAATCGACAATGGTGAGATTCGAACCCAGCTCTCATGTTCAGAGTGCGAACGTTCTACCTACGTGCCACGAGTTCATAGACATTAATATAAAGGGAGAAAACTATCGTCTGTATCAAAAGCAACCAAGCATCAAACGTGTTCCGCACTGGAATGATCAGCTTGCAGCAAGAATGGAATCTTCCAATATATCTTTCCTCATAAATCGACCATAATGAGATTCGAACCCAGGTCTCATGTTCAGATTGCGAACGTTCTCATCCCCACCAACAAACCCCCAGATATAGGATCGCCCAATACGTCCAGTTGCTACATTATCAAAACGTCAGCCTAAAAATTAGTATCTAGCCCTTAACCGGCTCCCCCGGGGTCGACGTGTATATACGTTTTTAGCGCGAGTGTCTTTTTCAGATGCGGATGAATAAAAGCGTCACATGCTGGGATCGGCTCCTCTAGTCAGATAACATCAAGTAGTCACTTTCCTGATAAATCGACCATAATGAGATTCGAACCCAGGTTTCATGGTCAGATTGTGAACGTTCTAATCACCACCCACAAACCAGCAGATGTAGTTCCGCTCAATACGGCCAATTGCTACAATATCAAAACGTCAACCTAAAAATTAGTATCTGGTCCATAACCCCCTTTCCACCACTATATATATATATATATATATATATATATATATATATATAGAACATTGAAGTCAACACTTAGATGCGACAGGCTGTTTCATGCTGGACACAATCGTCAGGCGGCCTTACGATTGCGTCCACCATGAAACAGCCTGTCGCCTCTGAGTGTTGACTTCAATGTTCAGTTTTATATTTATATTTACATACGCTCTATCTCTGATATTGAGCACGTTATCCCATAAATATAGCACACCTTAAAACTATATTTCTTCATATATATATATATATATATATATATATATATATATATATATATATATATATATTCTTTTACATTTTCTCTACATACAAATATTAATATATATTACAATTTATATCTACATATGTACATGCAGGCCTAATCATATATATGTACATATGTAATAGAAAAATAAATAAATATGTATGTATATTGAACGCTCAGATCTGCTCGAAGCGTATCTTAACGTAAACAAATAATATAATATATTAGGAAATGGACTAATATCCAACAATTATTTTAATATATTTTTGTTCATACGTTATTTTAAAAGCTACAAATATTTAAGCAAATGCTCTGTTTAATTTAAACTTTATTAACAACATTTACATGTCTGAATGTTCGAGAAACCTCACAGAAAATATGTGTCCTCTGACAGCAAACGAACCTGTATCCTACACGGAAATGCCATATAGTCCGACGTGCTATAACATTTAGCTACAGAGGAAGCGCCTGGTCAGCAAAGTTAAATTACTGTTTTTAAACTACAAATTTGCCATTATTTCTCATATATGCTCGAAGTATATCTTAACAAACAAATCACATAATCTTACTTATTATAAAACGCATATTGTTTGTGTGTGTGTGTGTGTGTGTGTGTGTGTGTGTGTGTGTGTGTGTGTGTGTTTATATATTGGATCGGATTTCCTACATTTTTCAACCGATTTCAACAAAACTTCACAGGACTGCGTAAAATTACCTTGCGGTGGTTCTGACAGCGGTAAAAATTGGAAAAACACAATTGTTTTTGCACGAAATCAATTTGAAAACACGATTAAGAGGCATCACGAGAATGAAAGGGGGATAACTCATATCGAGTTATACTTATTATAAAGCCCAGGTTGTGTGTGTGTGTGTGTGTGTGTGTGTGTGTGTGTGTGTGTGTGTTTATACATGGGATCGGATTTCCTACATTTTTCAACCGATTTCAACAAAACTTCACTTTTTTTTGGCAGGAAAACTTCACTTTTTTTTTTTCTTATTGTCTTGCACACTTTTTTCTTTATTTTTACATTCAGAATGCTTTAAAAATTCCATTTACAAGACAATTGTTTATAATAAAATTCTTTTCAATCGGTAGACTCATAACGATTGAAAACAATGTTTTTGTTTGAGTTTGGGTTTGACCAATTCGTAAAAAAAAAAAAAAAATAATTAAGACATGCGTGTCCGTCAACATTAAACAATAATCTTTGTCAATTTTATTTTTCAGTCTTTATGATGGTCGATAATTGATCTATCTCTTACTGTTACATCCCCGGGCAACGCCGGGCTCTACTGCTAGTATATTATGAAATGGACTAAATATATACGTTATTTTATTACCTTGTTATTGAAGCAAATGGGAATACATTTCTAGTTTTACATAATAAATTCAGACTTTAGACTCGAAAATTTATATCAAGCTTTGTTTTGTCGTCTAATTCAATTATTTAAAATTTGACAAAGGTTTTTCAAAGCAAATTTGAGTTTTTAAGGTTTATATAATTTGGCTAATAACTTCAAAGTTATTCAAATTCCGACAATTTTTTTAAATATATTTTTTGTTTATACATTATTTTTATAGATACAATTTTTTAAGTAAAATCTCGATTTACCATAAACATTATTAACTATATTTATCGGCCTGAATGTCCGAGAAATTTCGTAGAAAATATGTCTTTCGACAGGAATCGAACCTGTATCCTACACGGAACCGTCATATGGTCTGAAGTGCTATAGCTTTTAAGCTACAGAGGAAGCGCCTGGTTAGTACAGTCAAATTACTTTTTTTAAACAACAAATTTCCTATGATTTCTCTCGAACGTTCGTATCTGCTCGAAGCGTATCTTAACGTACAAAATGACATAATATATTATGAAATGGACTAAAGTCCGACATTTTAATATAATATTTTCTGTTTATAGGTTATTTTAATAGATACAAATATTTAAGTAAAAGCTCTGTTTATTATAAATAAAGTATTAACTTATATCTATAAAATCATTTGTATATATAAAAATAACCTTTTTATGAACTAAATTGTGTAAAAACTAAATTATATGAACTAAATTGTATAAAAACTGAATTTTATGAATTAAATTGTATAAAAACTGAATTTTATGAATTAAACTGTGTAAAAACTAAATTATATGAATTAAATTGTGTAAAAACTAAATTTTATGATTTTACCTATCTCTTAAGGAACTGCGATCCTTATCAAAACAAATTCATGAATAATTATTTTGGACATACTACTTCTTGCCTATCAAGAACACTCATGTTACCTTTCGCTGACCATAGCTCAATTCGGACCGATTAAAATACACACGAAAACCGTTCACAATATACTCGGAGAAAATAAAACTATAATAGTCTCATCCACCTGTAAAAAAGACGTTAGAAATAATCGAATCATTACTAATAAAAAGTCAACACTCAATAATATCAACTATGAACACGGTCACAATGTGCTGACCGTGTTTAGAAAGTAAAAATATATTCCTATCACACATATAAAAAATCTACATAGGGCACCACGAGACGGTGTTATGGTTGCAAGCTTGTCTCGCTAAAACAATTACGAATAAGTAATGAATTCAATCCCCACTGGGTGCCCCATACTTTTGGCCTTGTGCCACATGTAAGCTACGCTTGGAAAATCCGTATAAAAATCTACATATTCAGCTAAAAAAAAAAAAAAAGCATTTTTGATAATGTCTAATTTTTGATAATGCCGAAAGCGCTTGGATATATAAAGCATTTGCGAAGTTTTTACACACGTTATGCCCAGAAAATTAAAAAAAAAAAAAACTTATACAAACACTGAATAAAAAACTTAATCACAGTCATGTCTCTAATGAAAAATGTAGGAAAAGGGCGTTGCTGACCAAAATACAAATTTATTCGTTTTCTAAAATTTCAGGTGCTGAAAATTCCGGAAGAAATATCAGAAAGTTTTTTTTTTTTTATTTCTCTGACCAAATGTTTCAGCAACTCTCTCTCTCTCTCTCTATCTCTCCCTCTATTTCTTTTTCCCTCCATTCCTCTCTTTTCCCCTCTCTTCTTTTATTTCTCTCTCTTTCCCTCTCTCACACTCTCTCTCTTTTCGCTCTCTCTCCCTCTATTTCTTTTCCCCTCCATTCCTCCTTTTCCTCCCTCTCTCTCCCCCTCTCTCTCTCCCTCTATTTCTTTTCCCCTCCATTCCTCCATTTTCCTCCCTCTCTTCCTCTATTTCTTTTCCTCTCCATTCCTCCCTTTTCCTCCCTCTCTCTCTATTTCTTTTCCCCTCCATTCCTCTCATTTCCTCCCTCTCTCTACCCCCTCTCTATTTCTTTTCCCCTCCATTCCTCCCTTTCCCCCTCCCCTCTATTTCTTTTCTCCTCCATTCCTCCCTTTTCCTCCCCCCTCTATTTCTTTTCCCTCCATTCCTCCCTTTTCCTCCCCTCTATTTCTTTTCCCCTCCATTCCTCCCTTTTTTCTCCCCTTTATTTCTTTTCCCCTCCATTCCTCCCTTTTCCCCCTCTCTCTTCCCTCCATTTCTCCCTTTCCCTCCCCCTCTTTCTCTTCCTCTCTTTCTCTCTCTCTCTCTCTCTTTCCCCTCCATTACTCCCTTTCTCTCCCACTCTCTCTCTCTATCTTTCTTTCACATTTTCCAAACATTTTCGTATTTATCTGAAGTGATCATTTTAAAAATGTGCTTCCTATCTTCTTGGGATCCTAAGAGCCTGGATCAAAGAATCTGAAATTGTTTTCGCCTATCAACATCAGAATCTAAATTGATTTATTTGCCTCTTTTAGTATATATATATATATATATATATATATATATACTATTAAGCGAGTTGTTTTTGTTGGGAATCGAACTTTTCCATCAAAGACAAAATCCGAAAACATCTTTTTTTGTTAATTGTATTTTCTGCTAGTTTCAATTTTTTTATATTTCGAGACATGATAAAAATATTGACTAGGAAAAATAAAAAAATTGACAAACAAGAAAGAAAGGGAGGAAGAAATGAAGGAAAAAAAGAAGAAAAAGAACGAGAAAGAAAAAAGGTACGAAAATGGGAGTAAACATCTGATAATAAGGAACAAGGATAGATAGATAGATAGATAGATAGATAGATAGATAGATAGATAGATAGGAATAGAGTGAGTGAGATAGATAGATAGATAGGAATAGAGTGAGATAGATAGGAATAGAGTGAGATAGATAGATAGATAGATAGGAATAGAGTGAGATAGATAGATAGATAGATAGGAATAGAGTGAGATAGATAGATAGATAGATAGATAGATAGATAGATAGATAGATAGATAGATAGATAGATGATAGATAGATAGATAGATAGGAATAGATGAGATAGATAGATAGATAGATAGGAATAGATGAGATAGATAGATAGATATGGGAATAGAGTGAGATAGAGATAGATGGGAATAGAGTGAGATAGATAGATAGATAGATAGATAGATAGATAGATAGATAGATAGATAGATAGATAGATAGATAGATGGGAATAGAGTGAGATAGATGGATGGGGAATAGATTGAGATAGATAGATAGATAGATAGATAGATAGATAGATAGATAGATAGATAGATAGATAGATAGATAGAGTGGGGATTGAAAAGAGATAGAAAGAAGAATCGATAATTGCGTACACCTATTCGGAGAGAAACTGAAATCAAACAAAACAAAACAGAAAAAAAAAATGTGAAGCAAAAAAAAAAAAAAAAACCCCAAAAAGTGAGCAACAGCCCAATATTCTTCTTACGCTTTTCTGTCGACATTGACATTCACTTTTCTTGTGTCTTGTGACTTTCGTCGTTTATCAAGAGCCCGATCGATTTTGTCTACTATCCGAAAGTGAAACTAACATTGCAATGTTGGCCAGCAAGCTGGAGTCGCGTGGAGCCCCCATCGGCCGGCCAAACTGCGGGAAAAGCCGATGTGAAATTGGGCGTTGGGAGCAAGAAGGCGACTCGTGTCTGGTCGGGCAGGTAGATGGGGATTTGGTCAGTATCCAGGCTGAGAAGGCTGATAAAGATGAGACAAGTGAAAGCTCCATGTTTAAATGTTCTTGTCAGACAGACAATGAAGAGATACTCGTAATGAATGTCACTAAATAACATGTCGTCTCACCCAAAAACATGGACACACACACACACATATATATATATATATATATATATATATATATAACACATAGATTGACGATAGATAAAGAATAAACTGAGATAGATAGATAGATGATATAGATAGATAGATAGATAGATATTGATTAAGATCTTTATATAAGAATAGTTAGATAATGGATAGATTGACCACGTCTTAACAAACCCACGATAGATTATATTTTCATGAATGACGTATGAAAGACTGAGATAGAGCAATTAGATGAATGTCGATGTAAAACGATGATCTGGCTGGTCAGAAAGCTCTAGAGAGATGTTGAGTCATGCCATTTCAAGAATCTCCCAATTTCTAGGCAACAAATTTCATGACATCATGCATCATCCTGCATGAATTGCATTTTGATAGATGGAGTGCATGAATTGGTGCCTTATAGGAGAAGAATTGATGGATGTAGCCATGGAAATCGAATGCTGGATGTGGAACAGACTGGGATGGATGGAAATGACAGTTATTGGAAAAAAAATGTTTAAAAGGTTTAAAATTTAGATGGAAAAAAAAAAAAAGTTTAAAAGTTTTTTTTTTTTATTTTTACCTTTCAAATGCATCTTTCTACTACGTGTTTGGAGCAAAAAGACAGTTATTAATAGAAAAATAGACTGAAAATATAATAACTCGATACGAACCGAGTGATATGTGTTTGTTAAAAGATAGACTTTTAAGATTTTTATATAAGGAGTTAGAAAAGGAATTTAGTCGACCTTTTTCTTAAAAGAAACCTTTTCTATTTTTTTTTATTTACGTGCAAAAAATTTTTTACGTTGGTGATAAAATATTGGGTGAAATAGATAGATAGATAGATAGATGATATTTAGAATAGAAGGAATTGATAGATAGATAGATGAGATATTCATAGAAGCAAAATTGATTTTGATAGATAGATAGATGAATTAGATATTTAGTAGAAGGAATTGATGTAGCCATCAAAATAGATAGATCTGTAGAGTGCGTTTGGGTAGAAGTTATTGAAAAAAAATGTTTAAAAAGGTTTAAAATTTAAAAAAAAAAAAAAAAAAGTTTAAAAAGTTTGTTTTTTAAGATAGATAGATCAAATAGATCTTTAGGTAGAACGTGTTTGAGCAAAAGATAGATAGATAACAAAGATAGATAGATAATAATATTTGGGAAGCTATGGAATTGTTTAGATAAATAGATAGATAGATTTTGGGTAGAAGGAATACAAAAGGAATTTAGATCGATAGATAGATAGATAGATAATTTTTATTTATTTAGAAGGAATTGATTTTTTTAGATTGATGATAAAATATTTGGGAAGAAATTGATAGATAGATAGATAGATAGATAGATAGATAGATAGATAGATAGATATTTAGGTAGAAGGAATTGATAGATAGATAGATAGATAGATATTTAGGTAGAAGGAATTGATAGATAGATAGATAGATATTTAGGTAGAAGGAATTGATAGATAGATAGATAGATAGATAGATAGATAGGATGTTTGGTAGAAGGGAATTGATAGATAGATAGATAGATAGATAGATAGATAGATAGATAGATAGAAGGAATTGATAGATAGATATTTAGGTAGAAGGAATTGATAGATACGAATAGAGACAGATAGATAAGAATAGAATGTGATAGATAGATACGAATAGAGACAGATAAGAATAGAATGAGATAGATAGATAGATAGATAGATAGATAGATAGATAGAAGGAATTGATAGATGGATGGAGGTAGAAGGATTGATGGATGAATAGATGGACAGATAGATAAGAATAGAATGTGATAGATAGATACGAATAGAGACAGATAAGAATAGAATGAGATAGATAGATAGATAGATAGATAGATAGATAGATAGATAGATAGATAGATAGATATATAGGGTGGGAGGGATAGATATTAGGTAGAAGGAATTGATAGATAGATAGATAGATAGATAGATAGATAGATAGATAGATATATAGGGTGGGAGGGATAGATATGTAGGTAGAAGGAATTGATAGATAGATAGATAGATAGATAGATAGATAGATAGATAGATAGATAGATAGATACTGATTAAGATCTTTATATAATTAAGTTAGATAATACGCGCTTGACCACTTCTTAAGAAACCCACGCCGATTATTAGCAATTTCCTGAATGTCGTGTAAAACGCTGATCTGGCTGTTATATCGGCCGGAATATGGTTTGTCTCACACTTTGATGTCGGCATTACTCAAACACATTTCCAACGCCCACCTGTGCTCATGTGCACTGTTTTGTCTCTGTAAGTGTTCAACAAGCATCTAATTCTTACAGTGCTATTTACTTGATTAAGGTTCATTTGCTATCTGACAAAGCAAGAAAAAAATGTTATCGCTTTTTAGAGAGAAAGGCGGATCTTCTTCTGCCATACCACTAACATAATAAAATGGAATATATTGCTTTTGGTAAGATCCGCTTGGCAAATCTTGAAATATAGACGTGGACAAAATATGTTCGCCTGTAGGCAACTGTTTTTGAACACAAAGACAAGCCCGGATTCTCGTGCCGTATCCTTCTTCGAACATTGTGGGCTGGCGCTACATGGTCACAGAATTTTATCAATAACAGAAACCAAATCACTTGAGGACTTTCAAGAGAAACACCAACTATAATGGATAGCATATCCAACTAGAAGAGAAAATAATAACATTTCATTGCACACAAAATCTGGTTGTGGACTTCAGTAGGGTCAACTCACTCTGCCCACAGAAAGGTCACCACTGTGTGTTGTTCCTCGATGGTTCAATGGCTGGGTGGTTAGTCTATACGCCTGACCATGTTTCTTTTTGTTGTTGTTTACTCGGTAATTCCAAAATTGCTTTTACCTTCTGATTTACCCGGATAGATACACATACAGGGTTCAATAGGTAAATTGTCGCCATTTTATATTTTTAATTTGGCGCATGCGCGTTGTTTGTTTTTGATTTTGTCGCCTGCACAGCATAACAGGGTCAGTTGATTACTGTGAGAAAAAGAGCACCATGGCGCAATTCATCCGCTAGAAATTTGGAAACGGCATGCCGGAAAGTCCAATATAAACATTGCAGAGTGTTTGGGTGCCAATCTGATGCAGAAAATTCGGAAAGAGTTGGATGAGTCTAATGGTGATTACGAAGGTACGGCAGCTCGGAAAAACCTACTCTGATCGTTCTGATAAGAAAAAAAACTCTCGAATTTGTTGATGAGGGCTTAAGACTCAACATGGAGGCCTATATCAAGTGCCTTGAGGAGGTAATACTGCCCTGGGTCAAAAATGGTGGCTGCTGGAAGACCCTATGTCTGGCAGCAGTATTCTTTTTATTCCACACTAATACGAACAAAAAGTTAGGAAGGAAACTCTCATCAGTACTTGAAAGAGCGACAACAGCTACCGGACTTGAGAAACCTATTTTCCTGAAAATTTGTTTTAATATAAACATTTTATAAATTTCGATGAACAAGAGTACTGGCTGCTCGGCCAATGAATGCTAAATGTTTCCTTCTGGAGAAACAGTAATATTATCATTTTTATAAATGTCCCCCCCCCATCAAGGCGACAATGCCACTAAAATTAGGGGTTTACAGGGAGGATTGAGGAAATGACAAAAAGTGAACTGGATTGAAGAGGACAGAAGATGACGTTTGACGTTGCATTTGAATTTTTTAAAATTGTAGTTATCAGGGAAGTAGGAAATCAGGCGGGATGTGCGAGAAAAATAACGCATCTTCTTAGTTCAACAATAAAACAGTGAGACCTAATTGCCAATCTAGTAGCACGCTCAAATTCATGCATTCGGGGTAGTAAATAAAAAATCTCACCAGAACAGATGCCATGAGAATATAGACTGGGGTATTTTATTCAAACGGTATGATAATGCTATCTGATAAGTAGCAACAATCACCTGAAAGACTCCTTTCGGCCTCCCATCAACATGACTGATGCTAACCTCCTCGGTCTAACATTCTCGGCTGACATGAGGTTTAAAGATTATATAGAATTCATCGCTAGGTTTGCTGCTTAGAAAGGTGCAGTGTCTGTTGCGAGACAATATTTCTCTCCTGAATAAATAAATAATTAAACATAATTATAATTTCCCTACCAAGTTTTCTAGGTACTTTTAATAATTTCGCCTAAGCAAGGCGATAATGCCACTAAGACACAAATGTCTACAGGGAATAAAACAGAATGTGAAGACTTTAGTAGAGAGCAGTGAAGAAAAGACAATAAAGGAAAAATGTTTGAGAAGACAGAAGATGACGACTGACGTTGCATTTATATTTTGGAAGATTGTCGTTTACAGGGAAGCAAGAAAGCGGAAATAAACTTCCACAGGTGAGAAGTGCGAGAAAAGAAACTGTTAGAATAAAAATAGCGATTGTATCTTACTAGCTCAACAATAAAACAGTGAGACCTAATAGCCAATCTAGTAGCACGCTTGAATTCATCAAGTCAAGGCACCAGGGAAAAATAACTCGTCTTAACAGTTGTCAGGAAAATATTTGTAGAACAGACAGAGGTAAGCCACTTCATGTCGGTGGGGAAGTCACTGGAGACGAGATGCCCGATCAGGATCACTTGTATTGCAGATCCTTCTCTGGACTTCGTCAAGTATCTCGAGATGCACAGTAGGACCGCCCGACAAGATATTGCAACAAGATTCACTGCACGGTCGCATGATAGATTTATGAATGTGCAACACCATTAACCACTATAAAGTGCTCCCGCGATTATCCTTACCTCGATTTTCCGGATTTCGGTTGTCCGGAGGCGAACTGAAGAGAAAAATTCAAATCATCCTTACCTCGACTTTCCGGACTTCGGTTATCCGGGAGCGAAATGAAGAGAAAAATTTAAATCATCCTTACCTCGACTTTCCGGACTTCGGTTATCCGGGTGCGAAATGAAGAATAAACTGAAATTCTCCTTACCTCAATTTTCCAGACTTCGGTTATCCGGGTGCGAAATGAAGAAAAAAACTGGAATCCTCTTTACCTCGATTTTCCAGACTTCGGTTATCCGGGTGCGAAATGAAGAAAAAAAACTGAAATCCTCCTTACCTCGATTTTTCAGACTTCGGTTATCCGGGTGCGAAATAAAGAAAAAAACTGAAATCCTCCTTACCTCGACATTCCATATTTCGGTTATCCGGGTGCGAAATGAAGAGAAAAATTGAAATCATCCTTAACTTCTATTTTCCGGACTTCTGTTATCCGGATGCGAAATGAAAAAAAAATTGAAATCATCCGAACGTTTTTCCATTATCCGAACCAGACCCGTTGTAATATTTCATGTCATACAAGTGCTTTAAGAATTTAAAACACAATATTCAACGTTTGATAAAAATTGGCAAATGCTTAAGCTAAATGCTGTACTTTCAACCTGAAGTTACTCATACAAATACATCTACTGTAACCCAGACTCGTGAGTTAGAAGCAGAGAAACCGCGGGACTAGGTTGGAAAAAAAAAACAATTTTTTATAAAAATACAGTCTGGACACAGCCTTGAAGAAACGTTATTTGATAATATATATGTTAAATTTCTGTTAAAAAATGATTTTTTTTCTTCATTCTTTTTCGATAATTTAGCTATTCAATTACCCGGATATATTGGGTATGTTCAAATAATTCGAAATTCCGGATAATTGAATAGCTAAATAATCGAAAAAGTATGAAGAAAAAAAATGACACAATTTTTCATAAAATACGAATTTGGCACAGTCTTGAACAAAACGTTGGAAAACGTTATATGATAATATAAATGTTTCTTTTTTTTTCTTCAATTTTTTCAATAATTTAGCTATTCAATTATCCGGAAATTTGAATTATCCGAACATACATTTTCAACCCAATATGTCCGGATAATCGAGGAGATACAGTATTATGTAAAACGGACATTATGTTTATTCAATTCTTTTGCTCTCCCGAAGGCTAGTCTTTTATTATTCAATTTGGACTCTCGATCCATTTTCGCTATTTTTGTAAACCGCCATGTCCTACTGTCGTCCATTTTATATTTACCCGACTCTCTTTTACTCCCTTTTACTAATCATCCCATCTTTACGTTATCTTCTTCTCTTTTATCTTCCCCCCACACCTTCTTATAATTCTCTTTCTCTTCTTTTTACACATTTTCCTCTTTCTATTTTGTTACTTTCCTATCAATGTCTTATCTCACCGACATCTATATATTTCACAGAATCTTTTTCACTGCCGCCTGCTAATGTTCACTTTTTATCTCTCTCTACTACTCCCCTCTCTTCATCTCTCTATATTTCTCTCTTTTCCTCTCTCTATACTTCGTTCTTATCTTTTCATCTCTTTCTACTACACTTTTAAAAAGAGAAGCATATGAAACCCTCTCTCTCATACATATATATATATATATATATATATAATGTTATATATATATATATAAATTATATATATATATATATATATATATATATATATATATATATTGAAAGCGATCAATATCAGCGATAGAAATAACATATTTAGTTGCGTTGATGTGAGTTTGTGACCCTGAGTTTCACGCCCTTTTCGATCGTCAGATTGACGATGGCAAAGGGCGTGAAACCCAGGGTCACAAACTCATATCAACACAACTATATATATATACAGTGTAACCCGGATATAAGAGACCCGGATATAAGAGAAACCCGGATATAAGAGAAACCCGGATATAAGAGAGATTTTCTCTGGTCCACAATTAGAGCCTGTGTTAATGTATATAAAATAGACCAAACCCGGATATAAGAGAACCCCGGATATAAGAGACTTCTTCTGCGGTCCCGACAACTCTCTTATATCCGCGTTACACTATATATATATATATATATATATATATTATATATATTCATGTTTCATTAAATGACGAATCTTCCCTAAGACATATTATAAAGAAATATACTAACCCAATTGACCCGAATAAAAAAATCAAATTTATTATCTATTATAAAAAATTTAAGACAGACAACCTTATCCTCAAAAATAACAACACACCAAGTCAAAATTACAAAGAACGAACATTATCTATGAGATCAAATGCCCCTTAAGGAACTGAGTTCCTGATCAAACCGGACTCATAAATAATTACATCGGTTACACAACCACATGCTTATCCAGACGTCTTACGTTACACCTATCTGATCACAGCTCCATTAGAACCCATTTAAACATACACACAAATTTAACAGACTCCATTAGGAACATACTAGTAGAAAACACAAATATATTAAATGCATCCATCTGCAAAAAAAGATTAAAAATAATGGAAGCTTTAATAATAAAAAAGAAAAAGCCAACTCTTAACAATATTA